CACAGAATCCAAATTTGGCAACTGCCTGCATCTGGGATGTGTGTTTATAAAGTTAGAGCTAATAAAAGCAGTGACGTGTAGCTATTGAACCTACAATTTGTGTAAAGTAAAAGTCTTAAGTTTCATATGTCTATAAGCATATTGCTCCTCTTGCTAATTTCCTTCTAGTACTCATTTCTTGACTGCTCACATTTTTACTATCTAATAACTTTTAAAAAGTTATGCAAAGTTAGTTGACTTTATTCACTTAACAGATTTTCCTGTAACTTTGGTTAAACAGTCTTCTTTTTGTGCAGGCCCTTCAATCCCCAGCCCTGAATAGAAAGAGGCTCTGATTTGTGAAATGTGAATTTATGACTATCGCCACTCTTTTTTTTTTTTTAAATAAAGAACTTGAGCAATACACGACTGATGTGTTCTCAGCCTGTTTTCTGTGCTCCATCTGTCTTTCTGCCAGTGTATACACCCTCCAGTTTTGCAAGTAGTTGGGTAAGAAAGTACTAAACATAGAGAAAGGGCAATTCCAAAAGAACAAATGACTGTTTAATCTAGGCTGATGCTACGCAGTTGGTGGTGGTCTCACCCACCGGGGCGTGGGCAGTGCTCACCACTTAGGTTGGGCAAATCCCCAAGATGCCATTTGACAGAGTAATGTAGGAGAATGCACCACTCATGCCCACTTGCTTTCCCTGGGACATAAACAATCCAGCATGTTCCACTCTAGTTAAGTTTAATGCAGGTGCTATAACTATTTAAAAATAGTCAATAGATATAAAATCAATGAAAATTAGAATCTAACTTTCACTACTTTCCCTTGTAATAAATTTTCTAGATTCTACATTTTCTATCAAGAAGAGAGGTCTCATTGTGAGAAGAAGGCACACACGGGCATACTGCAGTCCCTACTGTCCTTGCTATAGGTCAGGCAATGCAACAACTCCACTTTACAGTTCTGGACGCCTGAGAAATAAAGGTCTCCACAGTTTCTTTATAATTATAGTTATGCTGACATTTAAGTTGTCCACAAGACTGGACTTCCTAACATTCCTTTTAAATGGGTAATGAGAGCGTTACACAGGAATCAAAGACGCATGTTCAGGTACACGCTGAATGAAGTAATGAGGAATATGTAAATAAGAATTGTCTTTCTCTTAAAGTAATACCTGCGATCACAGAGTCCTAGAATTTTAGAGATAATTTAATCCAACCCCTTTATTTTATGGGAAGAGGAAAGAAAGTCCAGAGAAGTTGTGACTTCTCCCAGATCACATAATAAATTAGTGGCAGAAGTAGTATAAAAACCTGATTTCCACTTTACCATTTCCTTGACAAGCAGTAGAAAAATTACATGCTTTTTGATTTATCCCACATAATAAAGCTGCTCTGTTTCCTTTATAGGTTCTATTACATTAGGTTTAAGTTTCCCTGCTTTCTAAACTCTTGTTCAAGGATTTACTGAGTTAACTACAAAACTTAAGAACCAGAATAAACCTGGGCAATCGTTGTCCAACTACTTTATTTTCTCATCAAGAAACCAAGGCCCAGTGAAGTTCTGAAATTGGCCACTGTAAAGAAAGAAATGAAGGTGAGACTAAACAGAACCTGCATCTGTCTCTTTTTTTTCTGGTTCAGTGAACTTTACTGCCATTTGGGCCACATCACACTGTTTTTGAAGCATTTAAAATAAAACAAAAAGTTTAATAGTATGAAAAATTCTTTCACAGCAAGTAATCACATTTATGTATCTGCTTAGATTTAGATTTTCCAAATCATGTGTGTGTGTGTGTGTGTGTGTGTGTGTGTGTAGACTTAGACAGGGTGCACCTGCACCCAATAAATAATGACATAGAAATCCAATTCTTCCACCTCACACCCATTGGAATGGCTACTATCAATAAACAAACAAACAAACAAACAAAGAGCAATGTGGTATAGACATACGACGGAATATTAGCCACCCTTAAAAAGGAAGGAAATCCTGTCATATGCTACAGCATAGATGAACCTCAAGGACATTATGATAAATAAAATAAACCAGTCACAAAAACACAAATACTGTATGATTCCACTTATATGAGATACTTGGAGTTTTCAAATCCATAGAGACAGGAAGCAGACTGGTGGTTGCCAGGGGCTGGGAGAAAGGAGGAATGAGGGGTTATTGTTTAATGGGCATGAAGTTTCAGTTTTGCTTGATGAAAAGAATTATGGAGATGGATGGTGGTGATGGCTGTACAACATTACAAATTGTGAGTGTACTGAATAACACTGAACTGCACACTTAAAAATAGGTAAGATGATAAAATTTAATATTATACATATTTTATCACAATAAAAAATTGGAAAAAAAAAATCACATTCTCCCTTCCTTTGACCTAATAACACGGTCTTCCTCCACCCTCTCAGCATCCTCTCTCCTATCCATTCTAAGCGCCTGCCAGTGGACAGAAATAAGGACCATTATTATTTCCATTCTTTCTACAACAATTTCCCTATTGAGTCAAGCAAGAATGTGGGGTGGGGATTATGGGCAGTATGACTGATGATAAACTTGCAGTCTGCAAAACAACACTCTATTTGACTGGACTTGCAACTCCAGAAATAAAAAAATTTTTAAAAAAGGCTAGAGAAATGATGCATGTATTTTGGAGTGTACCCTATGATGAGCAAGTTTAGATTCATCCTGGATTTGGGTAACTAATTTTGACCTTGTGCATCATCAAAGATTCCTTTATTTCTCCTTGTTTTTTCTCCCCGGGAGTGTATCCACCACTGAATCATGTTCATGCCATGCAATGATTATCTCACTCTAATGAGGTCAGTGGGGAGCAACTTACTCATGTTTGCATTGTTCCCAACAGCCTTGAAAAATTCTGATCATAAGTAATGATGCCCCAAATTATATTAATATAATGCTGTATTGAAATACCAGTTCTTACTACATGACCTTGGACAAGTCTTTATATGACTCTGTTTTCTCATCTATAAAATGGGTACAGTAACAGAACTTACCAACAAGGATTTTTTTGAGGAAAAAATAAATTAAAATTTATAGAGAGCTCTCAGAGCACTGCCTGATACACTGTAAATGCTCAATCAATAGTCTCACTATGACAGTAAACCAATCTACTAATTCAGTAAATCCAATAAAATCATTTTGCATCTGCTTTCTCATTGTCTTACTAAATGGTAGTATGATATTAAGAGATAATGATTTCTGAATCACTAGACTGTTAGAATTCGTCCATGCTTCCCTATGGTCTTAACTGTCACTTTTAATTTTTAGACATTCATTGGCTTCAACATTTCATTGTCCAGTATAAAAAGATGGGAATCCTCAAATTCTCTAATTAGGCAAAATGAATCACAGACTTAGAGTGCTCACATGTCTGTGCAAGTGGGCACTTTCAATGACAATGCATGTGTTCACAACTTCAAATCTTCAATGGAAAAACAACTCTCAGTCCAAGAAGAACCTAAATAAGTTTTTAGTGAAATCAATTATTGTAAATCTATGCAAGGACGTCAGTTCTATGTGATATTTCTAATGTGATATGCACTCTACAGGCATGCTAAGGAACATTTACAGATTATAGATGACAGATCATCAAAAATTTATCAAGCCCCTATGTCCATAAAAATGATGGCATCTGGTAAAGCACCACTGTCAGAAATTTCTAAAACTAGAATGGAGCTGGTTTTTATTGTAAGCCTAAAGTATTTTTAAATCAAGCCAGGGAAATAATTACTTTTGTTTCTATTCAATCAAGATCTGCACACAGAGTTTATGGAATGACATAATATCCTTCCTGAAATCAGACCGGTATGTAGGATCAGTATCCTTCACACATAACCAGTTCCTGAACCTTTACAAACAAATCCCAATTTCCAGGGAAACAATCTCATTGAGTGCTGCTCACTAGAATACATATTGTTCCTTTTGGAAACATTACAATAAGATTTTCATGATTACAAACCCCAACTTCGCCTCTAACATTCAATCTAATCTTAAACTCCTTTATTTAAGTGAAAACTGTATTTTTATAATGGCCCTAGAAATTCCTGATAGACTTACACAGCACAACATAACAATTTAGTTTTTTTGGTGTGGGAGGGGGGTGGTCATTTACTGATTGTGCATGTGTGGATTGTGTATGTGTCTTTTAAATGGATACCAGTTAGGGAGGGGCTTCTCAGGAATGTTCACTTTCTACTTTCTATGGACCTACCCTATAAGAAGTATGTTGTAAACTTTTTTTTTTTTGAAGAATAATAAGTTTTAGTAATGTACAGGCTTCTAGGCTGGTTTTTTCTTGTTTTGACTGAGAATAATAAAAAAAAAGAACTTCTAGCAGCTTGTAATCCATATTCTCTCTCCATTGCCTTAGGAAGCACACGTCACAGGACTTGTTTCGAGGTGCACAGACACATTTATCCTTTACCCGCAAAACAGTATCAACAAATCGGTGGCAACTACTGACATAATCAAATAAACAGGAAGAGAATGTGACTCTAGTTGTCAGCCCCATGGCCTTAAGAATAGAATTCTTAATTTTCCTTCTTCATAAGGATGTTCTAAATATTCTGCGCAGAGCGAGCATTAGTTCTCCGCCCCTAATTTAATTCCTTAATTAAACAAACAAGTGTCCACATTTAAAATGTGACAGAGTGTGAGGAACCTGTAGAAACGCTCCTAAAATGCACACCGCGTAAATCTTTCTCATCTGTTCTGCAGACACACGTAAGTTCTGGCATTTATGTTTTATCATCCCCCCGCGAAGTTTTTTGTGCACTTTATGTGGAGTTATGTGGCAGCTGAGTGCTGCTGTCACCGTTTGCTTAAAACTGCAGCCTCAAGTTATTTTTGAAAGTTACATGCGGCGAGGCATAGACATCCGTGTATGCAAAGTGAAAACAATCATTTAAACAACTGGGTTAGCGTGAAAGAGAGCCGACAAGAATCCGAATTAGCAACAGCCCTTCCGCTACCGGCAACTCACCTTGCTGGATCTTAGTCACTAGCTGGTGGCGCGCTAGAATCCGGCTCATCCTGTACGGAGAGCGTCTTGTCGTCTGATCAAATCGCAAGTACATCTCCTGGCCCTCAGGTGTCATGGGATTTAGATAGTAGCAGCCTGAAGCTGGGGTCCTGGACACCTGACTGAACATCTCGGCAGACTGTCCCTGGCCACCTCTGCCTGTGGCTCTTTCCTTCTGTCTCCAGTCTCAGCCAAAGCGCGAGGCACCAAGCCCAGGAGAGCTCAACAGACCAAGCGATTTTTAAAAAGAAAAAGGAATGCCAGAAGCCACAACTCAGAATTCCAACCCTCCGGGCCCTCACATGACCTTGGGGAGCCAATCAGAGGGAGAGAGGAAGATGGGACCGTTCCCGGGCAGCCCCAAACCCCGAGGAGGCAGCCCCGGCAGCTGCGATCCCCCCACGGCGCTGGAAGCAAACGCGAG